AAAAACTTTGATATGGGAGTCTACAGCAATTGAGTGCTCAGGAAAAGAAATTAAATTTCCCAATAACAAAGAAGGAGGTTTACCGGTGTGTAATTCCATGGGAGTACAATTAGTAGACTTATGGACCACGCTATTAAGCACATCCATCATATTATGATCCAACTCGAGAAAGACGAGAAAGTTCGCGCATGATCCTCTCTGAGGGATTGGCCTCAGGGTGTCGGACTGAAGATTTTATGACCTTGATACCCATAGCTTCAAGTTCACGATTCCAGATGTGGGCAGTAAATTGGGTGCCGTGGTCAGTAAGTACTATCATTTTTTAATTTGTTAACTATGGTAAGAGAGGTCGCCTCCTTAAGTGGGTTGAGTGGGTAGAGATCCACTAGCTTAGAGAACACATCAAGAACTACGTACAAATGGACTACTCCGCCACGGGAACGAGGAAGAGGTCCGTACAGATCCAAAACAATAAGGTCGGCAGGAGCCTCAGGAATAATGCTTTGCATAAGTGGCTTAGGAAATTTGCTGGATTTGGACATTTAGCAAGTATGACAGGTCTCTGGAGTGCATGTTGGACCACCAAACCTCCCTTCGGAGAGCAGACCATGTTTTAAATACGCCAAAATGGCCGAGTGCAACATGATAGGCGTTGACAAAGTCTGGTACTCGAATCTCTGGTACACAACGGAGACAAGGATCATTATCAGACTGTCTGAGAAAGAGCATATCCTCATGCAACACGAAACGAGGGTTAGCCTGAGGATCGTCTAATAAACTCTGACGAATAGCCTACAGTTTAGGATCATTTCGTTGCTCTTCAACAATAAAAGACAGCGATTGAGCAAAAGAGATACCCAAACCTATATTACAAATCCTGAAACATTTATCCTCATGTGCAAGCAATCGTGGAGGGGGATGACGAGAGAGAGCATCACTTTCCTTACCAGAAATATATCTCTTGGAGTGCAAGAGCCCAACGAGTGAGCCGAGGGGAAAGAAGGCGGCAACTCTGTAAATACACCAACACTCGGTGATCAGTAAGGACATTTTTTCCTAGCAGAAAAACGCGACACTTTTCTAACGCCCATATTACAGAAAAACCCTCCTTTTCGGTGACACAGTAAACCACATACTTTTTTCCATCTTTAAACTGGTAAGTTGCGCACCTAGTCCCACATCACTAGCATCCGTCTGCACCCAGAACGACAGATCATAATTGGGGTGATAAAGTAGGGTTTCCTTAGAAATAAGTTTTTTGAGTCCTTTAAAGGACGAGTTCTGTTCTTCAGACCAGACCCACTTAAAATTTTTTCTTAAAAGACTAAAAAGCGGCTCGGCAAGCGTTGCAAAGTTCTCACAGAAAGTTCGGTCAAAATTGCATAGACCTAGAAATGCTTGACGTCTCGAGGCTGAGGAAAATGGACTAATGATTGAATATGTTCGTCGTCCGGACGAATGCCATGTTCATTAAGAACATAACCTAAAAAATTGAGTTATTTCCACAGACCACCAAAACAAATGGACGGCCCATTGCCATTCAATACTAATGCTTTGTTTGCGGTCAACAAACGGTCACAGTCTAAGCGTCAAATTGGATATATAATTTTATGTTTTCTTCCAGTGACGTCAACAAACGGTCACTGTCTAAGCGTTAAATTGGATATATAATTTTATGTTTTCTTCCAGTGACGTATGATATGTAAACTTTGCTTACTTACCTATGAAAGGATAGATTTGTATTTCTTTGATTTGTTTTTTTATAAACAGTACACTGTCGCACCATTTTTAGTAAAAAATAATGTATTTAAACTCAATAAAACACGATAGAAATACACAAATGAACACCACAGATTATAAAACACAAAACAACAAGCTGTCAACCTTTTTCTTTGCTGTCAATATGACGAATTTATCAACGTTGTTAATAATTAATTTTAATAATTATTAAATGATTATTTTCTTTAAATAGAGAAAAATATTTAAAGAAAATGATGAACAAATCCTTTTTATTATTCAAACGAATTACTGGTAATTTTTAATGTTCATTATGTTATGATGAACGTCCAAAAAGGCGTGTAATCTATACTTCGATTACTAATCGATTCTTTCAAAGGTGTTTAGAATGTGAAAGTATGCTTTACTCGCTTTTTAAACGTAAACAAATCCGTCCATTTGTTTTGGTGGTCTGTGGTTATTTCTTAAGAAACTGACACTTCTTAAGTCTTAAATTCATACCTGTCAGACGAGAAAAAACCCTTGACAGGTGGCTGATATGATCTGTAAAGGTTTCAGAGACCACGAATAAGTCGTCCACATAAGGGATTACAAAATCGGCAAATGATGGTCCGAGAATTTAGTTCATGGCACGGGAGAAGGAGCTAATGGCGGTTTTCAAGCCAAATGGCAGAACTTTAAATTGGTAAGGCTTGGTTCCATGTAAAAAAAACGGTATATTTCCTATACGACGCTCTTAAAGGAATTTGTCAGTAGGAAAAGGTGAGGTCTAAAGTATTCATGTACCGAACATTGGGCAAAGTTTTCAATATGTCATGAATTTGACGAGGCAGTTCGGTATCAGGCAACATAACTTGGTTTTAGCGCCTAGCATTAAGTCAACATGAACTGTTCCATCCTTTTTGAGCACAGTGGAAAGGCGGCTACTATAAGGGCTTGAAGAGGTTCGTTTAATAATGCCGAACGTGACCATACGATCAATTTATTTCTGCACAGCTTCTCTATGGGCTATGGGAATAGGATAAGGCCTACGGAAGAAAGGGGTCACTTAGGTGAATTTCATGAATATATTCTTGAGTCAAACCTGGCTTGTTGGAAAATATTGGCTTATATTTTTCAATCAACTCAAAAAAAGGTTTTTTTTTCATTCTCAGCCAAAGTTAAGGCTACTACAATAGACTTGATTAAAGAGTCTACTGATTCCAACTGGATAAATTTGTCCTCAATCTTGTGATACTTATTGATGGCATAATCACTTTTCAAAAGTTGGGGTTCTGGAGCTACAAAATCATACAAGGTCTTAATCTCAGGTATTTCAATGATATTGTTGTTTATTTTTGCATATACACAATTGTTTTCAAAATTTATACAACCTCGAAAGGATCTAAGGAACCTAAAATGACCGGAAACACTAAGTCGGGAATATACAAAAACTCATATTCAAACTCATTACTAGCTAAAAAGAATTTTACCTTTCGCTTTTTATTCTTGAATGCACCTGAAACTCTTACTTTAGTAACTGGAAAAAACGGCAAGCTACCAGAAATTATTTGACTACCAACGAGCTCAGAAAAGGCACTGCATTCGCTACCTGAGTCTTTTAAACAGGGATATTGGAGGTTCATAATAGAAGAGCTTGGTTTGGGATGTTTGTATTCACACTCAACTAAAAATCCTCCCTAGGATTATTTCGACGAAAACTTCATACATTTTCAGTCCTAGATAAACTCTTCAGCCCTGGACTGTACGACTGAAGAGCGGCGATTAGTTTTTCTGATTTTCCGGCAAGCAATCATCAAAGTGCACGTGATAAATCCGATTTGTTTTTGGCGAACCTGCAAAGTTATTTTTGACAGCAGGTTATTGCAACATGTTGCCAACTTTTAAAACCTGAATTCTGTTTTACGGGTACATCTTTCGATCCGTAGTTCGAATGTCTCGAGAAGAAGAATTGGCGGCAAAACTAACCTTGTGACTTGCGTTACTTTTGGTATTGCCCCAGTTGACGGGGGTGTTGAATTAGAGAAATTTGGTTGGGTCCTACCTTCCAATAGTTGATCATTGGCTCGGGCACCTGCATAGGCTGACGAGGTGGTGTCTGTTGAGTCTATGTTACTGCTGGTAGACCAACCGTCCTGTTGAACGCACTGTTACCCAAAGAAGCTCTACTCTGTTGGCTACGGGTTATCATACCATGCTGTGTTGGTGGTGGTGTGTGTTCAAGTGACATCCTGGGTGTCTTTGTAGGTGTTTTCAATAAACCACGAAGTTGGAAACAAAGGTGCTTTTCACCTAGCCACTATGTTGGGGGCCAAAGGTGGCCAAAAGGTTGTCCAAAGGGTTCCAAGGAGAACTTGTAGGTTTTTAAAGACTTGTATCCCAGACACTCTTTATTATTGTAACACACCTTAACGTAGAATTGGTAACACTTCTTGGTAGTCAAGCAATTAAATTAAAAAAAACTGTTTCCGCAAATTAATTAAAGGGAATATAAAATAATAGATTAAATAAGTTACCTGTTTCACCAGACAACTTTTCGTTCAACAAAACGAATATTAATCCAGAGGATGATAACGAAATTTAAAGTTGTACAAAAATAACTAAATCGCTTCAATAGGTATAAAAAATATATAAAAAATTCAATAAATTTACTCAATTTTTTTTTAATTGAAGTCAAAATTTTGACCATTGCCACATTTTTTTTACTTCATATTTTTTTTTGTTTGAAGTTGATATTATGACCAGAAGTCCCGAGTTGCCTAAATTTGTCGTTTCGGAATTATTATTTTTTTAATGAAAATGTCATTTTCTATTAAATTCGTGGTTCATCGTAAAAATTTGGTATTTTATCTAAGGTCATTAAACTGGGGTGACCTTTATAAAGTGTAATTTAGAAATTTTTTGATATATTTTTGTTACTTAATTGTCTTAACTTTTTATTTTTTAAAGAAACACCCTATGCATTTTTACATATTTCGATTCAAAATAAAATTCTGAATACATACATATGTCATTTGTCAATTTTTGATAAATCAAATATTTTTTTGATTAAATTTTATTTCTATATCATACAATTTTATTCTTTTTTTTTCAATGCTGGATTTAGGAGCTTTCAAAAATTGAAAAGCCATTCTTTATGCCAATACTATTTTTTTAATAAGGAATTACATAATTGGAAGTTAAAAATTAAAACTGAGAATCATTGCATTGGGCTTTAATTAATTATTTGTAAATAATATTATTTATAATAACTTAACTTATAGGTTTTGTTAAATAACACATGCGTTAGTCCAAATGATTGTAAAGTATGTGATGATGAGGGTCACCATCCTGGGGATATATGGAAAAAAGACAATTGCACCACTTGCACATGTGAAGGGACAAGTTTAAAATGTGAAACTCAAAGTTGCACGGGAAGTACTACTATTTGTGAAAAGGGATATAACGCAAAAAAAATACCATCAAAAGAAAATCAATGCTGTGATAAATTTGTATGTGGTAAGTAGTTTTTTATGAGGAAAAATTTAAAATTAAAGGTTAACAATTTGACTAATTAAACTAAATAGCATCTTGGCTGTGCAATTTTAAAACCTTCTAACTGATATTTCCAAAAAAGGCGGGTTAAACGATAATTTAAACGCCCTTGGTGGTGAAGCAGTTAGTGCTGCGGACAACAAGCCGAGGGGTTGTGGGTTCTAATCCCACATGGGTATGGCTGTTAATTGTGTTTGTTCCATCCTGTGTATTTCTGTAATTAGACCCGGTGCATGTTGGTCACACGTTAAAACAAATAAATAAATGAATAAATAATGGGCCTTTAATGCCTATTCACAACACATTATTATTACTTTTTATACATTAAATACCTATTATCAGTGGCGTGCAGGACGGGCCCCGCAGGGCCCGCGGTGCGGGGGGGCCTCCGACCTTAGGGGGGCCGCGTAGAGAACCACATTGGGTGGTATAAGTGACAAAGGGGCCCCAGCTCAAAATTTGCGGGGGGGGCCCCGATCACCTTTGCACGCTACTGCCTATTATGTTAAAAATATTAGGTATTTAATGTATAAAAGGTATTTAATGTGTTCTTAATAAACAATAAAGTCCATTATCATTTAACCACCCATCTTTTCAAAAATGTCAGTTGCTTGGTTTTGAAATTTTACAGTTGATATATTATAATATATTATGAAAAACATGTTAAGGTGGCTCAAAAAAATCTTTATTTTTTTAACCCCCTACTTTTTGAGGCAGTATTTATCTTACGAAAAACCTATAGCTTAGATATATTATAATATATTATGAAAAACAGGTGGCTCAACATTTTTTTTGTTTTTTTAACCGCCTACTTTTTGTGGCAGTATTTATCTTACGAAAAACGTTGTTAAATTTTAGCGCAATCGGATATCGTTTAGAGGTCGCGCTATATACTTCCAGAGATAATTTTATTCTTTATATGTATATACAGGGTGTCCTGAAATTAGTGCACCATACTTTAACAGCAGATTCTACGTGCAAAAATAAGAAAAAAGTCCCTATAAATATAGGTCGAGAAATGCCTCCTAAGGGAACTACAGCCCCCGAAAAGGGAGCCCCTGAAGATGGTTTTTATCTAATATAAATAAAAAAGTAAAAACACCCTGTCACTTACTACATGAAACTGTCACCTGTCTTAAATTATTCTATTTTTTCCTAAACATGGCAGCCGTATTCCAAGGACCACGCGAGTCCATTTCTATGGTTGTGATTTAATTGTGAATTTTTATGCCATGTAAAATAATTTTCAAATCGATTTTATGCGAAAACGGTGTATGTTATCGAAGTTCAACAAGATGACCTTTTTTATGTGCAAAACTCTAAAATTTTATAATCTGACACCAAATTCTGGTACAAGATACGTACAAAAAAGTTAAGGTGGTTTTAACCCTACTTCCTATCAATCTGACCGAAACCACATAAAAAATTTTAAATTGTTATTGTTACGTCTTATTGGTCATAAAAAGTTTAATTAATTCCCCAAATTTCATTTTTATATTTTTAACGGTTTTGGAGATATTAAATAAAAACCATCTTCAGCGGCTTTCCTTTTGGGGGCTGTAGCTTCCTTAAGAGGCATTTCTTGACCTTTGTTTATAGGGACTTTTTTTCTTATTTTTGCCCGTACAATCTGCTGTTAAAGTATGGTGCACTAATTTCAGGACACCCTGTATATTAGACTGGTTCAAAAAAATCGATTATTTTTTTTTCTTCAAAGCCCGCATTCAAATATCTTCCTAGTAGTGAAAAAAGAAGCCTGTGAAAATTTTAGCTCTTAATATAAATATTTAGAGGTCGCTCATCGTGAATTTCTATTTTACGTTTAAATAACACAGGAATTCTTTTTTCTTAACTTTGAAATTTTATAACTCGTTTTTGAGTGAACATATTGGAATGAACTCTATATATTTTTGAATAAAATTGAACGTTCTACAAAAAATGTCTCCTATAATTTTTTCGTAAATTCCCTCCTTTAATAGTTATTCAAGGTTGAAATTAGACATATAATAAATGTAACGTTTAAATAACACAGGATTTTTTTTTAACTTTTAATTTTATAACTTTTTTTGAGTGGACATATTGGAATGAGCGATAATATTTTTTTAAGAAACATAATTTATATAAAATTTTTAAAAAAGATTATACAGGGCGGTCTAGTTTGTGATACATTAATTTGAAGGTAGACTTTCATTAATTAACATTTCTCAAAAATGTTTCCTAAGAAAAATACAGGCCGTCAAAGATTACAAAAAAACTAGTTTTCTCTTTATAACTTTTAAACCACAACATTAATTTTCATCAGATTTGGCACAAAATGTAATATAGTCAGTGCCTTAATAATAATGTGGGGGTACTTCACCCCTTTTCACCTCAGTCTTTGACGCCACTAAAAATTTAAATAAATTTGTAGGTAAAGTTTTTAATTTACAGAAATAATTTACTTCTGTAAAATTTTGATTTGGGTCTTCGTTTCTGAAATATTTGCTTAAAAATGTTTCCTCGCAGAGACGCTTTCCGTCAAAGTTTACAAAAAAAACTCGTTTCCCCATCATAACTTCTAAACCACTTAATCAATTTTTATCAAATTTTGTACACAATATAGCCAATGTCTTAGTAATGATGTGGATAATTATTTAAAGAAACCATCAGTGGCGCAGTTACTTGGGGGGCTGCTCCTCTTTTCACCTTAGGCGCCACTGGAATTTTTTAAATAATAAACACATTTTTAGATTATCTGTTTAATTTGGAGAAAAAAACTACTCATGTAAAATTTTGATTTAGTGCTTCATTTTTTAAATAATTTATTTATTTATCCAAGAATACTTGCCGCAGGTTTTTTGAAGAATATTTAAAAAACGAAGCCCTAAATTAAAATTTTAGCACAGTAGTTTTTTTATCTCTAAATTGAACAGACAATCTAAAAATGTAATTTTGCGAGGAAACATTTTTGAGCAAATATTTTAGAAGAGCAAATTGTTTCCCTTAATTAAAAACTTGACCTAAACATTTATTTATTATTTTAAAATTTCCAGTGGCGTCAAAGACTGAGGTGAAAAGGGGAGCAGCCCCCCAAGTAACTGCGGCACTGATGTTTTTTATAATAATTATCTACATCATTATTAAGGCACTGACTATATTACATTGTGTGCCAAATTAATTTTGTGGTTTAAAAGTTATGAGGAGAAAACTATTTTTTTTTTTGGAAACTTTGACGGCCTGTATTTCTCTTAGGAAACATTTTTAAGAAATGTTTTTTATGAAAGTCTGCCTTATTTTTGATGCTTTATCACCTATTAAAATTAATGTATTACAAACTGGTCCATCCTGTACAATAATGAGTGATAAGGTTTATTATTATGCCACCAATTGAAAAAAAAAACGTTAAATTTTTTATATGTCTAATTTCAACCTTGAATAACTATAAAAGAAGTGAATTTATAAAAAAAATATAAGAGACATTTTTTGTAGAGCGTTCAATTTTCTTTAAAAATATGTATCGCTTATTCCAATATGTTTACTCAAAAACGAGTTATAAAATTTCAAAGTTAAGAAAAAAGAATTCCTGTGTTATTTAAACGTAAAATAGAAATTCACGGTGAGCGACCTCTAAATATTAATATTAAGAGCTACAATTTTCACACGCTTCTTTTTTTACTACTAGAAAGATATTTCAATGCGGGCTTTGAAGAAAAAAAAATATTCGATTTTTTTGAACCAGTCTAATATATATATATATTAGGGTGTGCCAAAAAAACTCGATATTTTTTTTTCTTGCTCTCCACCCAAAATATCGTAGAATATGTCCGAACAAATATCCTAAAAAGCGGAGCTCATAATTTCAATTTTAAGAGGTCCTTCATCGAATCTGAAGTTTTGCCGCTTAAATAGCACAGAAAACTGACTTTTTTACCTTATTTATTCCTGCAGCCTAGGAAGAAATTTTTGTTAATAAAATCCATGACCAAATCTTACAAAGCATTAAATTTGGACGAAAAAATCTTATCAAGCCGAATTTCTATTTTCATTATTTAATTAATTTATTAAAGTTGAACGATGTGAGTTATTTGTAGGCAAGCTAAATTTACTCCACACTTTTATAACCTTACTTAAAACAAGTTTTGCACTATTAGGTACGGATAATAAAGTTTTTGGTGCGATGTTTATAATAAAACAAACACAAAACATCACGATTTGAAGGTAACTTCAAATTGCTTAAGGTTCTTATTTTAAAATCACCAAGTTCATAAACTTTCGTTGACTTGGTTTATTCGACATTGTTTAACAGTGAACAAGTTTTATGATAGTTGTATTAATTACGTATAAAAAACTAACCTCAATTAAGTACTAATTACAGCAGATGACAATGAAGCTCACTAATTGGTTTTATCGAGCGGCAAATTTACCGATATCAAAAAAAAAATAATACTGCAAGGGCGCTGTTAGTAAATTCTTTGGAAAATTTAAATATCAACAAAGTTATTATAAGTAAACCGTGTTTTACAATATGTGTACCTATCAAGCTCGAAATAAATGAAATAATGTACTGAATATGAATATTATAATGAATATTAATGTAATAATTACAGATTCAGAATTTTTTGTACGATAATAGTTGGTAAGATATTATTATTAGTATTTTAAGCGATAATTCACTGTAAACAATGGAATAAGACATTAAATTCTTATAAAATTTTGTATCTATTGTCAATTATTTATCTGATATACGTAAAAAACCATCGAAATAAGCTTAAATAAGTCTGTAAATTTTAATGGTTGACAGTACATTAAATTTTACTAGAATAATTTTTCCGAAAATTCAATTTTTTTATAATTCTCTATTGACTTTGTGCTAACATTAATATTTCACTAACAAAAAGTTAATAATACAAAAATGACTTTATACGCCTGTAACTTTTAAAATATTGACGATACAAAAAATTCGCCTAAAACTTTGTGGTCCATCAGACAAGCTAAAAAATTGCTATTTGACTTTTTCGTCTAACTTTAATAGCTCTGTAAAAAATCAAATAATGAAAATAGAAATTCGGCTTAATAAGATTTTTTTGTCCAAATTAAATGCTTTATAAGAATTAGTCATTTTTTATGAAAAAAAAAATCTTCTTAGGTTGGAAGAATAAATAAGGTAAAAAAGTCAGTTTTCTGTGTTATTTAAGCGGCAAAACTTCATATTCGATGAAGGACCTCTTAAAATTGAAATAATGATATTATGAGTGGAGAGCAAGAAAAAAATATATAGAGTTTTTTTGGCACATCCTATATATATATATATATATATATATATATATATTATGACTTTTTTAATGCAAATATCAAACTACAAAGAAAAATATTAAAAATTATATAAATATTTTTCTTTGTTTGGTTACCTATATGAAATAAAATTATACAAAACTCTAAAAAAATGCAAGTATATAAATTTTCTACATAATATATTATACCCTACCCTTTACAAAATGATTTACTATGCTAACTGCAGTATTTTCACAAAAAACTAATAGTTTATTTTTGTAAAAAATCGCATCCTCTACAAAAAAGTTTTCCTGTCGTTTTTGCGTATCTTTCGTATTTTGTGGACTAGAAATGTTCTTGTTTTCTCGTGTTATTTAAACTCCTTTTGTATATTTTCACATAAAAAAACATGAATGAACATGAAAGTTCATGTAAATGTAGGTCCTTAGATGTCTTATAAGGAAGCTATGGCCATCCAAAGGTGACCTAGAAGTCCTAGTTTCTATTTGATTTTTTGCAACCGCTTGAGTTACCGTGGTGCGTCTTTTTTTTACTTAAAAATATTGATTTTGAAGATTTTTTTACACAAAAAGGTATTTTAATAAAAAATAATGTGGGAGAAAATTATATTTATTTAAATCATTGCATAAAAACTATTATCGAATTGTGTTTAAATTAAAATAAAACATCAAAGTATAACATCAATGACGAACAAAAATTTGAATTAAAAAAAGCATAAAAAACCTATAATTAAAATATACAAACGGAGTTTCCGGACACCCTCTTTATAGCGCGACCTCTAAACGACATCCGATCGCGCCCAAATTTATAGACGTTGTTCAAGAGGTCCAACCCTGTAAAAAAAAGCAGTGCATCGGCATGCAAGGTCGAACGACGGATCGACTGACCTAAATTACCTATAAATACTTTGATTTAGTGCCAGAACCAGTTGCTGGGCCAACATGTGAACCACCTCAAGAAATTAGTTGTGGACCAGGACAAGTATTAAAATTGGACACAAAACCAAATGGATGTCGGGCGTTTATTTGTCAGTGTAAACCAGCTAAGGAATGCGACAAAATAGATTTAACTAAATTTGAAAAATTAGATGTTGGTTACAAACTAGAAATTGACGAAAATGGTTGTTGCCCTCTTGCAAGTATAGTTTGTCGACAGGAATTATGTTCTGAAGCAAAACCTTGTCCTCAATATTACAGATTAGAATCAAAGGAAATCCCTGGAAAATGTTGCCCAATACATACTTGTGAACCGCCACAAGAAATGTGTATATTTGAAGCCAAATACATTTCGGCTACTGATGGCGGTGAAAGATTACTGACCAAGTTTGAAAAAAGGTTGGAGCTTAAAGCAGGAAATTCATCATGGAATGATGGCCCATGCAGAGTCTGCAATTGTTTATTAACAAGTTCGGGAAGTTATCAGTTTACTTGCAAAAAAGAGGACTGTAAAGAATTAAAAACATTCACAGATTTTTATGAATACGATTTAGTTATGGAACATATTTACGATAAATGCTGTCCCGAGCCCAAACGAATAGGTTGCAAACATAAAGGACAAGTATACAAAGTTCAAGAAAGTTGGCCTTTAGATAAATGTTCGACTATGAAATGCACCGAAAATTCTAATAAAATTATTAAAGAAACGCTTCAAATCACATGTGATTCTAACTGTGAATTTGGTCACGAATATATTGAGACTAACAATGAAAATGAATGTTGTGGAGTTTGTAAACCTATTGGCTGCGTGGCAAACCAAAAGATCTTTAAAATAGGAGAAAATTGGACTTCAGATGATTATTGCATTGAATATTCATGTAAGAAGATTAATGAGTCGGTAAGTACTAACTGTATTAAATATTAAATTTTTTAAACATATAATCTACAGATAGAAAGTTAATTTAGCTTTATACGGGATTTGGTTAAAGCTAAACAGTTCTTTATCTCTGGATATATAATATTTTAAATTATTTAATTAGTATTAAAAGATATACAATTTCTTTTAAGTTTTCGAATGTTTATAAAATTGCAGGATTACCTTGTTTCACAATAAATTTTGATATTTTGGGTTAATATTTATGGTTATGTATACATAATAATAATAAAATAACATTTTAAATATAATAATTATTTTACTTTTATTTAAAATTCCAATAAAAGGGAATTAAATGTAATTGTTACATAAGAGACCAAACTATTTTGAACATAATTAATATTAATTATCCGCGGATATCCGGTTTAAAATTAAGTAATTGTCTCTTACCAATGTAGTTTCTTTCTATATTTTTATCCTATATACTTTTTTATATGTTTAACAATAAAATGAAGATGCAAAAATAATACGACGAATGCTTTAAATAGTAATTTGTATAATTTAGAAATATTAAACGGCAAACCCTTTACATGAATAGACTTGTATTTCAAATTGTATTATTTGCAACCTTGCATGAATAAAAAAAGGAAAATTAATTAATTCAATTATTTTTTTAGATGCAGATACATTCTTTAGAAGTAAATTGTCTTAAATTAAAAGAAGATTTCATATCAAACTTTGAGTTTTCTACAAGGACTGAAGATGGAAAATGCTGCAAAAAATATGAAGCTACTGCTTGTAAAGAAGGATTAGCAATATACAAGGTATTTTAATGGAATTAACATTAATTATATTATAACGTTCATAGAATAGGGCCCTCTGGTTAAAGTTTTTGCTACAATGTTTTAAATTTATTTATTCTATTTTTTTTTGTAAAAGTAATTTATAATTTTAGGTTGGTGATACATGGCCCTCCCCAGATGGAAATAAATGTAAAAATATTACATGTGTTAGAAAAACTAATGGGGAATTATCTAAGCAAGAGTCCTTTGAAACTTGTACAAAGGATTGTGAAAAGGTACGAATTCTTTGTAAAACGAATAAATTATTTGTTTATTTTATTTTATAAATAACGACCTAGGTGGAACTATCTACATATGGGGAAAATGAAGTTAGATCTTATAAGACTATAGTTAGCTTGGGTGCTAGAAAGTTGTAATTCATGCAAAATTTTCCACATAGTGAAACATGCAGCTCTTTACTTATTTCACTTAATAAAAATAGGGTTTTAATAACTAAAACAACCCAAAACATACCACGTGTAGGTAGCTGCATAGCGAGTTTCTCTCCCCCTTTGTCTCACCATTCAATAATGCTAGATTATTGATCAAAAGCTATTTAAAATTGCTCTTTTGTATCAGCTTTTAAATTTTTTTTAATGGGCAAACCGAGCATGAATTTTCTGTAGAAAAAAGAAAAAAGTAAAGGCTTTGATGAATGTTTTAATTGCATCGTTCAGCGGCTTGCAAGCTATGTTGCGTGTCCTTTTTTACCAGGATCACGATTACATAATTTTGAGGGTATATCACCTACGTATTCACCAACGTATTTCATAGAAATAAACTTGATCCCAATACCAGTTTCTTAGTTCTGAGAATCCTTTTTAATCATTCGTTTTACAGGTGACACTATGTATTTTCGTAACCCGATTCTTTAAGTATACTGACATACATACTTATTTTGGCATATTCGTGATCGACTAGTTAATTTACTTACTTAAAAATTAGGACTCTACGTTGTGTATTTACGTACATTGATAATAATGTTATTTTGAAATTTGGTCAGGTTTAATGAAACACAAAACAAATGTATGTAAATGTAAAACAAGTGTATTTAGTATTCATTTGTAAAATCTGTGATTTAAAACTCGTTGAATTATTATCATACTTATTCCCAAAAGTACCATTCATATATGGTAAGAAACATTGTTTTTGTTATTTATGATAGTCTACCAAAAGTAACTGTCTCATTGATACTGTTAAATCCATAAATTTTATTAAACAATACATGCCTACCATCTAAAAGATTATGATTTGGTCAAATTGTCGTTTATAAATTATTATTATAATACAAACCTTAGAAACAATACACAATAAAAACACACAAATACACAAAATCTTACAAAAATTCGATAACTACGGATATAATTGAACGTCAAAAAGGTCAAAAACGTCAAAAAATTATAAAATCCGCGCCCTCTTTTGGCTTGGCTAAATATTATAATACTGTCCCGACATCCGACATAAGAAACTGATGTGATGGTACTTCGATCGCGCAGTCTTTGTGCAATAACATTTCTGTTATCAAGTTCGCATAATGCACCATGATCGCTTTGTTTTTCCGGCGTAACGTAATCGTCCGCGCCTCCATTATTCGCGTTCTCACTGTCAGCCTTTTTTTCTGCCTCGATATTGATTGTTGCCATGGAATCTTCCAACAAAAAAACGACGTCTCGTGAGATCTCGATTTTGACCGTTTTCGGATTTCAAACTCGATATCCTTTAGAATGGTTATCATAACCGACAAACATGCATTTTGCTGCCTTTGGATCAAGCTTTCGACGTTTTTCTTTCGGAATGTGAATAACAACTTCCGAACCAAAAATCCGTAGACGATCCAACTTTGCTTCCTTGTTGTACCATAATTCATACGGTGATTTGTTCTCGACTGTGCTCGTTCCAGTTCAATTTAGCACATATACTGCTAAATTCACTGCTTCCGCCCAGAATTTCTTGTCTAGTTGCTTCGAGTGAATCATTGTTCTTGCTGACTCTACGATCGTTTCCTGAACAACCGTTTTGCTCTGGCGTGTACGGCACAGTTCGCTGGTGATGAATTCCAGCTACTTCGAAGAATGTTTTTAATTCCTCGTTGACAAACTCCCATTGCCATTGTCAGACCTGATAATGCGAATGTTGTGACCGTCCTCCTTCTAAACCAGCTTCACAAATTTCTTTATGATGCCTGCTACTTCGGACTTTTGTTTCAAGAAGTAGACAAAACGAAAATGTGAGTAATCATCTTTTAATAGCAAGAAATACCTGGCGCCGCCCATCGAGTTTGTTTGAAACGGCCCGCACACGTCAGTATGAATTATATCGCCACACGTCTTAGACTTCTCCTTGCGACTCTTGAAGCTGCTTCGATAATGCTTCCCGTAGACACAAGCTTTACATACAAATTCTCCATCGTTGAAATCAATGTTTCGACTCTGTAGAAGTTTTTTAACGTGTATCGCGTTTTGGTGTCCAAGTCGCTCATGCTACAAACGAAGTGATATTCTTTTGATTGCCACATTTGCCTCGAGCCTTGATTGTTGAACTGTTTTAAACATAATTTGAAACAAACCCCTTCTGCGAACTCCCACTGCAACGACGTTTCCATTCTTTAGCAGTTCGCAACCTTTGTTGTTCATATTCAATTGATGCCCACGATGTGTCACTTTTCCCGACGATATTTATATCGCCTTTTCCTTGAGCCATAATCTGTTTCCAACTGTAACTGGTTCATCTATCTCGGTATAGTTCTTAAACCATTCGCGTCGATGACTCATGTGATCAGTTGCACCCGAATCCAAAATCCAAGTGTCTTGGTCTCCATTGGTCGCTGTATAGCATACAAATGCATCGCTGGAACTTTCTCCTTGCTTTCCGTCAGAAAGTGTCTTATTTTCTGGGCAGTCCCGCTTCCAATGGCCTCTTTTTCCATATTTAAAGCACTTGCCTTTTGGCTTGTCGATTTTATACTTGGCGAATTTCCCTTTTTGTTATTGAAAATTTTCTTGGGAAAAATTCGCTTGGCCATAAGCGCTTCTACCTCCTCGGCCATCAAACGTGCCTTCAAATTTGTAAGCGTTCGATCGGCCGCGCTAGCAGATTCCCATGCGCTGTTAAAATGATTGTACTTAACAGGCAATGTATTCAAAATTTTTGAAATTACCATTGAGTCAGTTATAACCTCATTCTGATCTCTCAATTGCTGTACAATTTCTATTAATTTTGATATGAAAGTTGCCATATCGTCTGACGGGTCCTTCTTGAAGTTGTAATACTTCTGCTGAAGAAAATATGTGTTATTTTCTGACTTTTGCTCATACGTACTTGTGAGCTCCGTCCACATTTCCTTCGCCGTCGCGCAGTTCATAATTAATCGCACTAACTGCTTTGCACATGTTGTTGAAATCGTTCGCCTTGCTTTTGCGTCCGCCTTTTTCCAAGTTAGAATATTTTGTGCATAATATGTGGCTTCAACAGTTGGTTTTTCGATTGTGCCATCGACATAGTCTTCCACATCGGCCAATTGTGAACGTCCTCCAATTTTTCAATAGCAATTCGTTCCATTTTTTTTATTTGTGTTTGCCAACCTCGAAAATCCAGAATATATTATTTTCAATTTCAGTTTTGGCTTACTGTGTATCAAAAAAATTTCGTTTGCTCCGTTTTTTTTATTTGTGTTTGCCAACCTCGAAAATCCAGAATATATTATCTTCAATTTCAGTTTTGGCTTACTGTGTATCTAAAAAATTTCGTTTGCTCCGTGCGCCCGATATCAAAAGTTTTTCGCTTCGAAAAATTACCGCGCAAAACAAAATGACACGTTTTACTGAGAATCGCACAAATTCACTGATTTAAATTTTGCAGCACGATTTCAAACGTTCAATTAAATTGTCACTTTCCTCACTGTTATGAATTGATTATTCTGTTTGTGTTAATTATTACCAGTTACCTTTATATAATTATTTAATCATTAAGTCATTCAATGTCAGAAATGTCTGTACTGGAATTTTAGTTTATTAAAGCCTTAATTCCGAAGGTTTCTTTTATAACAATTTAATAAACTAAAATTAAAATCATTCTATGGATAAACTACTCAAGCCAGAGCGACTGGAAATTGAAATACACTCATCCGACATTGGTCAGCAATGGATGCATTGGAAACGGACATTTGAAAACTTTCTTGAAGCTGCAAAAGTTTCAGAAGACAAAGATAAACTGAATCTTCTTGTTAACTACGTGAGTTCTGCTATTTATCAACCTATAAGTGAATCTGGATCTTATAAAGATGCTATTACAATTCTAGAGAGATTATATGTAAAACCACGAAGTGAAATTTTTGCACGTCATACTTTATCTACTAGAAAACAACAAGTTGGTGAATCTATTGATCAGTATTTACAGATTCTCAAACAACTTTGTAAAGACTGTGATTTTAAAACAGTCACTGCTGAACAGAACAGAGATGACTACATACGACTTTATCTCTTGAAAAAGCACATGAATCTGCTAGATCTTTAGAAATGGCTCAAGAACACTCAGAATACTATATGACTAACTCACGTGAATTCAAGTGTTTCAAATCAATCATCTACTCAAGATTAACAAGAAAAATTTCATCCAACACTCGCTGTAACTTCACCAAAATGTTATTTTTGTGGTAGAAACAAACACCCTAGAGACAAGTGTCCAGCAAAAGAAGCTGTATGTCATTCTTGTGGAAAAATTGGTCATTTTATACAAGTTTGTAGATCAAAAATTAATAAGCAACCTTATATTCAAAACAAAACATCAGCTGCTTTGATCGGTATGATATCTGCAGCATCGCCGTCATGTTTATCAAAAGCTATTATCAAAATTGAGGTAAATTGTACTCTGACAGATGCACTAGTAGATACAGGAAGTTCAGACAGTTATATTTCTAAAAGTATCACAACTCAAAGAAAAATCAAAGTTTTTCACACAAATATGAATGTTACAATGGCTGCTTCATCTTTGAATTCCCCAGTTTGTGGATTCTGTATCATTGATATAAAAATATCGAATCATCTATACAAAAACATCAAATTATATGTATTAGAAAATCTTTGCGCTGACATCATAATTGGACATGAGATCCTTCAAAATCATTCGGGAGTTGAATTCAATTTTGGTGGTAGTCAGACAAAACTTTCCATATGTAGTTTAGCAACAGCTATGTACACTGTTTGCGAATTTAACAGAAAATTGTAAACCCATTGCTATT